CCACCGCGATATGATGAAGGACGCGCAGACCGCGGAGGTGACGCCGATGGCCACGTCGAGCCGCAGCGGGCAAGCCGCCACGCCGACCGCGGACGCGACCAGGCCCGCGGTGAGCAGCGCGTGCGCCCGCGGCCCGGGGCTCGGCACCTCCGGCAGAGGCCAGGGGTCGGGGCGACTGCGTGCGCTCTCGGGGGCCTCCTCAACCTAGGGAGGTGCCCCGCGCGGCGGCGAGCCGAGGGGGGAGCGAGAGGGGGCAGGGCTGCTCAGCGGAGGGGCCTCTCGAAGCCTCAGCGCCTTCCGAGAAGCCTCGCGGGCCTTCTCCGAAGACGCGGGCGGCTCCAGAAGGCGGGAGGGCTTCTGAGCAGCCCCGCCGCCTGCTGAGAAGCCGGGCCCTCTCTCACTTCCCCCCTCCCCCTGTGCTCGCCGCCAGTTCCAACCACTGCAGCTCGTGAAGGGCGTTCCGGGGGTGCCCGAATCGTGCGTCCCGATCGGCCGCCAGAGGCTCGAGTTGTGGACCACCAAGGGCCTGGCATCCTCCTCGCGGCGTGAGAGAATCACGACGCAAAGTGCAGCAGGGGCCCGACCACAGGAAGCCTTCGACAAGAAACCCAACCCCGAGGCCCCAGGACGTCCATTGGCTGTTGGTCTGGGAACGCCACGCTGTCCGTAGCAAGGCCGTCGAAACCCAAGAAATCCAGGGCACCCTGGATAGGCAAGCAGGGTGTTTCTCGGCAGGGGTCTCCACTGCAACAGTTGTTGGCAACTGTCGGCGCCTGGGAGCCCCTTGCCGGGCCACGGAGCCTTCGCAGAACGGCTCGGGGAGGATAAAGGAGCCCTGGGACACACAAATAAATAGACACAAATCCCTGAATTCCCTATATTTTCTGGGTTTCCGTCTTCCCCTCCTCTTCCCATCTTTTTCCATATCTTCCTGGGGATCGACGATTCATTGTGTCTGTGTTTTTTTGTTCCCCTCCTGAGAGGAGAGGCCTTTCCCCGGGGAGGGAGGGGCCTGGGCCTCCGGGGGACCAGATGCGAGCAAGATCACGACGCTGGGCGTCTGGGGCGAGGGGGAGGGATTCAAACAACGAGGGGTGAGCGAATCCGTTGGGGGGTGGGCGAATCTGTTGCTGGGGATGGTCCTGTCCTCGTTGGCTTGGTACCCGTGTGTAGTGTTAGGTCGGGCATGTCCCGCTACAGGCTGATTTTGGGCGAAAAATTTAAAATACCCCAGAAATGAAAAAATGTCAAACATGGCAGACAAATCGTCCCCACACGATTTTTGACTATTTTTGAATATTCCCCATGTAGAGGGACAGGGAAACGCCCGACTTAACTGTAGTTGGGTTCGTGCGCGGCAGTTGCTGGTTGTATGCAGTCTGTGTAGCTGCTTTTGAAAAGCTCGGAGCTCAGCGCGGACAGCACAGCCGTGCCAGGTTCGAATCCGCCCACGCAGCTGGCCTTCCCGCCGCCTCCCAGCGCGGGAAGGCGCTGACGCATCGAGGGAAGGCGCCCGGCGGGGCCGAAACCAGCTGCATGCAGCCGATTTTGACTACCTACCAGACCACCCCAACCCAACCCGAAGACCCGAATTTCGGGTTGGGGGGGGTACGGGTTCCATGTGTGTTTTTCAATGTTCCCCGACTCTCCCCCACTGGAAATGGAGGGAAAATTGAGGCCTTCGGGTTAGGTTGGGGTCGTTTGGTGGGTGGTGAGATTTCGCACCCCCCTCGTTTCCGGAGATCCCCCGCTGTCGCCGGCCCCGACAGGAGCCACCCATCGGGTTTGGCAGCAGGGGCCGCGACAACCGGTGTCCGACGGCCTCGGCGTCTGGAGGCCGCGCCGGAGCCCCGGGGCCGCCCAAGGGCGGCGCCCTTGAGGGGCCAGCGCCAGGAACAAAAACGCGACGCTGGAGCAGAAGTCCAGGCTCGGGCCCGCCGGGAGGTCTGCAGGAGCTCCGAGGAGCTCTCTGACCTCTCCAGACATCCGGGGTCGTGATCTGTTCGCAACGTGGCCCCTCCACAGCGTGACTTGCCCACAGAGTCTCTCCAGGGAGCGGCTTTTCATCCGGAGCAGCTTTGTGTCGGTGCCGGGGCCCGTGCAGGGCCCCCGGACCGAAAATCGGCGAAATCTCTCCGTCGCGATCTCTTCGCGACGCGAGGATGCCAGGGTCGGGGGGGCCTCTCAGTATCGTGTCACCGGTCCACGTCCCCGTGGGCGTGGCCTGGGCCCCACTGGCCGATCTACCCCGCTGAAGAGGGAGATCCCCAACTGGAGTGCTGAGACGGTGGGGGGTCTGGATCGGGATGGGGACATGTGGATGGGGGTCGGTTCAAGGATACTGGGCCTCGGGAGCTGCTCGCGGGATCTAGGGGGGCCCCTCGGGGGCCTCGCGGGAGGCCGGCAATCACGCAGCATCGAGCTCTCTGGACCTCTGCGGCGGCTCCTCCGGCGGCGCCGGGCGCTCTGAGCCCGCACCTCTGGACGGCGCAGGTCGGTGGCGGCTCCGGCGCGCTTCGCGCGCCGGGGGGGGGGGCGTGGCGAGGGGGCCCGACGTCGGCGGGGACTCCATCCGCGGGCCCGCGAACTTTCCCGCACTCCCAGGCGTGGCGCCCTGCTCAGTATCACGCAGCGCGCGACGCTGAAGCCGATGGGCCAGTTTTCCACCACCGCCACCACAACCACCGCCACCACCACCACCACCACCACCACCACCACCACCATCACCACCACCACCACCACCACCACCACCACCACCACCACCACCACAGGTAGGACGGGGTAGAGGGGAGGATGAGGAGGTCCTCCCTTCTCCCCCTCCACCTCCACATCCTCCTCCTCCTCCTCCTCCTTCTCCTCCTCCTCCTCCTCCTCCTCCTTCTCCTCTTTGCCATTTGCGCCAGGCCTACACCGTTTGAAAGCCGCCTCCGCCCGCTGCCGCTACCGCTGCTACGACTGTCGTGCAGAGACTGCCTGCCTCTTCCTCTCCTCCTCCTCCTCCTCCTCCTCCTCCTCCTCCTCCTCCTCCTCTGCCATCTCTTACCCATGGTTGCGGTGGTGGAAAATCGGCCCATCCGAAGCGGAGCGGCAGCGCGAACACCAGCTGCGTGACGAGCATCCCACGGACGGCCGCAACGAAGAGGCCCTGCCACCCGCCCCGCGGCTGGAGGCTGTCGAGGATGTTCGGGGTCGTGGCGTCGCAGTAGGAGGCGTACCCGACCACCGACATCGCGAGATAGTTCGCCTCGGTGGTTCAAACATGGGGTCCTGAGGCAAGGGCGCCTTCCCTCGCGCCTCGCGCTGCGCGAAGCGCGGAAACCTTCGCGCTCTCGCGCCGCTCCCAACGGGAGAAGAGGAATAGGAGGAATCGGAGCCGAACCGCGAAGCGCGAATCAGTTCGCGCCCTCGACGGCGCCCTTGGAAGGGGTGGGCTTCCTGAGGACGAGGTGCCTCAAACAATGCAGACCCCCCCCTGGATCCCTTCCCATCCTTAGGGTTAAGTCGGGCCTGTCCCTCTACAGGGGGAAAACTCAAAAATAGTCCAGAAACAGTCGGGGGACTATCTGTGGAGTATTTTTGATTTTTTCAATGTTTTGACTATCTTTCATTTTTCGCTCAAAATCCGCCTGTAGGGGGCCCCGTCCCTCAGGACCCCGTCCCTCAAGCCCCATGCTTGAGCCCCCGCTCGCCAGGATGGCCGAGAGCGCCCAGAGGATGAGGCTGCCTCCCCTCTCGCGCTGCGCCTGCTCGCCGAGCGTGCCGAGCACGTTCAGGAAGGCCCAGCTGGCGTTCAGCGCGAAGGCGACCAGGGGCAAGGCGGCGATGGCCTCGACGTAGGAAGCCGGGCCCACGCGCACGGATCGAGGAAGAAACGCGACCAAACTTTCGGGGGTCCGCGTGGATCTCCCGCATCGGCGCTGTAGACCCCCCCCCAGCGGCGCCTCCGGCGCGCGAAGCGTCGTGCCAGGGGCGGCGCCAGAGGCGCCGCCGGGAGGGGGGGGTCAACAGCCGATCCGATAAATCCGCGCGGCCCTCCAAACACTGCTGGTGGTGTCTTTCTGCCTCGAATAGCGGAGGCGGCCTCGGAGCCGGCGCACTCGACCAGCCTCCCGGAGGCGTCCCAGGGCGCGGTGGCGATGACCACCGATGTGATGGCGACGGCCGCCACGCACCCAAAGCCCGACGAGAACTTCAGGCGGTCCAGGTTGCGCATCAGCGACAGGGGCAGCACCACGCCCAGCGCCAGCGACGCCATCGCGGCAGAGCTCGCTCCGCCTGGCCTCGTGGCGTGCGCCAGCTGGCCCTTCCGAGCATCGTTTATCCGATCCCTGTCCCCAGCGGCGTGGCCTGGGCCCCACTGGCCGATTTACCCCCTTAGATGGGGGTATAGGCCGTTCCCTCCTGGTCTCGAGAGGTGTATCCCCAACTGGGGGGTCGTTCGGCGGGGGTCTCGAAGGGGATGGGGATGGGGATGGGGGTCGGTTACCCAAGACGGACCTTCACGATCAGCAGGAAGGACACGCCGCCGCCCCAGGCGTAGATCGCGATCAGAACGTCGGCCAGCGCCCTGGCGGGCCTGCCGAACGCGGACAGGAGGAGGTCGGAGTAGGTCTTCGCGCCCAGGGCGCGCGAGCACCTCACGAGCGCCCCGCACGAGTACGCCGACAGGGCGCCGCAGCACAGCAGCGCCAGGCAGCCGAGGCCGATCCCCATCTGGCTGAGCACGAACGGCAGCGTGAGCTGCCCGGCGCCCAGCACCGACATGACCAGGTTGGCCAGTGCGGACCCGAAACTCGCCCCTCTCTGCTCGGGGCCCGAGGCGGTGCGGTGCCTGGCCGTGCCCGCCGCCGTCTCGCCGCCTGGCAGGGCGTGCCCTCCATCGCCCGACCACGCCTTCCGCAGCAGTGGACGGGCGAGGCCCTTCTTGCCGTCGCAGAATGACATGCGCACGCCCTCGAGGATCCGCAGGCTCGCCCCGGAAGCTCGGGCCCGAAACGTCTGCGTGCGGGCCGACCCGTCTTCTTCCTGATCGACAGGGGCATGCGGGGCCCTCCAGATGCTCCCAGCGTCGGGCACGCGCCAGCACGGAATAAGGATCCGTGGATCTGGCAAGTGGGCGCAGGGGGAACCAAAAAAACACCCCCCGAACCAGGAAGCCGGTGCCGCCTCATCTGGCGACGGGGCGCGTCGATGCTGTAGTCGCTGCTCCACGCGCCTCAGCCCATGTTTGCGCTTCCTCGGCAGAGGTTCTTGGAGGTCGCCCAAGAGTCCCCCCGAGGCGGCCAGATGCGCAAGAAGGGCCGAACACGCCCTCCTTCCCCTCCGGTGGTCGACATCGCAAGCCAGAGAGTTCTGACAGACGAGGTAGGTTTTACGCTCGGACTCCAGACGAACGTGCTCCGAGCCCAGAGGGCCACCGAAGGCGAAGCTCGGCAAGACCACGCAGTGGGCGAGGGGCTCCCTCGCCCACGAGACCACGAGGCTCTTGAGACCTCGAAGCCTTCTCGCGGCTGGGCACGGGGCGAATGTGCGGCACGGGGAGGGACCCTGGGAAGCCGCCCCCCCCCCCCCCCTGCGGCCGAGCCCACCTCGTGGGCGCGCTGACCCCAGGCACCTGGCTTCGTTCCCTGGCCCCCCAGGCCTACCCCTAGGCCTACCCATAGGCCTACCCTAGGCTTACCCCACCCTAGGCCTACCCCTAGGCCTTCCTCCTGGGCCTACCCCCCAGGCCTACCGTAGGCCTACCCCTAGGCCTACCCCTAGGCCTGCCCTAGGCCTACCCCTAGGCCTAGGGGTCTGGACCCCTCCCCGGGGACGGGTTCCCCAGCCCGAACCTTTTTTCGTCGACGGCCCCGGGGCCCGCTGAAAGAGCCTCCGAACGCCGAGCACGGCCGGTCCCAGCAGCGACGCCAGTCTCTCCGCCGTCTTCCGCCGTGGAGCGGTGTGGCAAGAGGAGCGCTCAGCACATCGCAGCGGCAAGTGTGACAGACAGAGTGGAGGCAGGAAACTTGGAGCAGCCCTCAACTCGGAAGCGCAGTACACAAACAAACAAAAAAGCAGCCGACCGCTCGCCGCCGGGACTCCCCCACGGCGCGACGGCTCGGGGAGCCCGGGTCCGCCAAGGGCCGCCCGCGCAGCCGCGCCCCACCCCGGGGCCCACGGGGCGAGGGGGCGGGGGCACCGCCACTCCGTCGATGCCCTCGGGGGGAACGAGAAGGGGGGGATGGCAGAGGGCAGGGTCGAGAATCAGCCCGCGCAGCTGAGCTTCCCGGCGCCTCCCGGCGCCGGGAGGCGCCCGCATGTGTCGAAGACCGGGCCCGGCGGCGGAGCCGGAACCAGCTGCGTGCAGCAGACTTCGTACCCCCCCCCCTTCCCCCATCCCCCCCCCCTTTCGTTCGGCCCGCGGTCCCCTTCGCCCGCCTCCTTCCCACAGCTCCTCCGGCACGCGGGCGCCCCGGCGGGCGCGGACGCTCCGCCGCTCGCGCGCGGTCCCCGTGCGCGAGCCCTTCCGATCCGGGCCTGGCAGCCCGACCCGACCGAAAAGATCGACGGCCACTGCCGCCTTCACCACACGGGGGGGGATTGGCCGACCTCACCACTAGTGGGAAAGGGGGGGGAGGTCGGCCACACGCAAGAGCGACCCCGGGCAAGGGGGACCTCTGGTGCGCGGCTGGTTGGGGGGCGCGGGGGGGCCAGACCCAGACGTGCAAGACGCCTCTGTCGCATCGCGTTGGGCGATCGGGCACCAAAGGTCACTCCGGCGAAGGGTCACTCGTACGTCTCGCCGAGGTAGGCACAATTCCACCAGGGCCCCCCAAGCCCGGGCCAGGCCACGGAGTCTGCGGGGATCCACCGACCCCCCGGGGTGCGGGCCGAACCCCCGGCCACGCCGCCGCTCGCCGAGCGGCACCGAGACGGGCAAGGCCCAGCCGAGCAGGCCCCGCTCCCGTGGCCCCCAGGGTGCGGCCGGCGGGAGCGCCGCGGCGGAAAACCACAGCGTCTCTCTTGTTTTGTTTTGTTATATCTCTCTCTCTCTCTCTCTCCCTCTCTGCGTCGTCACTCCTCCTCCTCCTCCTCCTCCTCCTCCTCCTCCCTCCTCCTCCTCCTCCTCCCTCCTCCTCCTCCTCCTCCTCCTCCTCCTGCTAATCTTCCCACATCCCCGCTAACATCGAGGATGAGGAGGGAGGAGGAGGAGGAGAGAGGGACGAGGAGGGGGGGGAGGAGGAGGAGGAGGAGGAGGAGGAGGGAGAGGAGGAGGAGAAGAGGTAGGAGGAGGAGCAGGAGGAGGAGGAGGAGGAGGAGGAGGAGGAGAGGATAAGTACGAGGAAAAGGGAGGAGAAGGGGTGGGGGGGAAAGTGAAAGAAGGAAGGAGGTTGGGGAGGGGAGGAGGAGGGGAGGAGGGGGGAGGTGGAGGGGGAGGGGGGAGGAGGAGGAGAGAGGAGGAGGAGGAGGAGGAGGCGCAGGAGGAGGAAGAGGAGGAGGAGGAGGGAGGAGGAGGAGGAGGAGGAGGGAGAGGGAGAAGAAATGCAGGACGAGGGAGGATGAGGGAGAAAGACGATGCTGGTGCTGTTCCTCATCATTCCTCCCCCTCCGCTCCTCCCCCTCCTCCTCCTCCTCCTCCTCCTCTTTCTGGTCCTCTTGCTGCTCATCCTCCGCGCTCGGAGGATGGGAAAGGAAGGAGGGAGGGAGGGAGGGAAGGGACGAGGAGAAGGATACGGAAAAAGAGGAAAATAAAGAGAAGAGGGGGGAAGAGGAAGAAGGAATGAGGTTTGGGAAGGGAAGGAGGCGGGAGGGAGGAGGGGGGAGGAGGAGGGGAAGAGGGAGGATGAGGGAGCAAGAATCTGGTGCTGCTCCTTATCGTTCCTCCCCTTCCTCGTCCTCCTGTTCCTCCTGCTCCTCCTCCTCCTCCTCCTCCTCAGCCTCCTCCCCTCCCCTGGGCTTGCCTCCAAATCTTGGAGGTGATCGGCATGCCCTGCCTGTCCCTCATCCCGAGGTCAAACCCCCAGGTCTCCAAGAAGCAGCAATCCTCGGTCCCGCCAGAAGGGTCAGAAGGAATTTGCTGCTGTTGCTCATCCCTGGAGGGAAGGAATAACAAAAAGAGAAGGAGGGAACAAGGAGGGAGGCAATGACTGCATGTTACCGCATCCAATGTCCTCGTGGTTTCCCTAACCGACGTTTGCACGCAGGGGTTATTGCTCAGGTCAGTACGTGAAGAACTGGATGGGTATGGCGGGCTTCTGCCTGGTGCCCGCCGGTGGGCGACTGTGGGCGCCTCGTGGGCGCCCAGCGCTGGGAGGGGGGGCATGTCGAAGTTTCGCCTGGTGCCCGCCGGTGGGCGCCTCGTGGGCGCCCAGCGCTGGAGGGGGTATGTCGAGGTTTCGCTTGGTGCCCGCCCTTGGGCGCCGCGTGGGCGCCACGCACATCACACACACAGACACAGAGACACACAGACACACAGACACACAGACACACAGACACACAGACACACAGACACACAGACACACAGACACACAGACAGACAGACAGACAGACAGACAGACAGACAGACAGACAGACAGACAGACAGACAGACAGACAGACAGACAGACAGACAGACAGACAGCCAGACACACACACAAACACACACACAGAGACACACACACAAACACACACTACATAGCTTACACGGCCTGGCTCAGACGATCCTGCTCACACGACATAGCTTAAACCACAAAGATCACGCCACACAACTCACGCCGCACAGCTCGAATAGCAACCCGCTCGCGGAAGCCAACTTTGGGCAGGTCGAACGCCGCTGCGCCATGCCGCGCCGAGCCGATCAAGGGCAGGGGAGTGTCCACAAATACCGAGGAGCAACGTTTACAATTGCGTCGCGGTGGCCTCACGGTCAAGCAAGTGGCGCGGTCTATCAAACTGCGTGGAGCATGCGGGTCCCTGCGTGCCCCTGTGCATCCACTGTCTCGCTGTGCTCATCGCCGTTAGGTCCCCCTCGAGGCGTGGGCGCGTGGCCCCCGCTGCCAGCTGAGGCCAGTCGGGCACCATGGGCGCTGCCATCCTGAAGCTGCCGCTGGTGGTGGTGTCGCGGGCGGACCATGGTGGCTGCTCGGCCTGGTTGACCAGGGCACTCCTGCTGGCATTGCTGTCTCGAGGCAGAGGCCGCCGCGGAGGCCGCCTGCGTGCGTCTGCCGAAGTCCTCGCCCGCCTACTGCGGCGCCTCTGTCAGCCTGTGTATTTCCACGTGGCGTGCGAGGCCCTGGTGGCCCTCTCCCAGGACCGCGGGTCGCCGGCTGGGTCGCCAAACTTATCGTCGTCGTCAGTCGGCGCAGCCAGCGGTGGTCCTCATACATCGGGGCTGGCCACGTGCGCCTCTGGATTGTCGCTGGTTGGAGCATCAGACCGGGCATGAGGGTGAAGGCCGCCGGTCGCCCTGACCGCAAAAACCAGCCAAACAACCACATGCGCGCCGCCGCGCGGAAGGGTCGGCCCTGCGCTCCCTTCTTGCCTTGGACAGGACTGCGTCGTCCTCGGCGTCGGGGTTTTTTTTCGGGTCCAGGTCGTCGATGCCATTGGCGAAGCGAACGGGAGGTCTCTAGGTGGCTGCCCTGTAGACCGCCACCCCCACCTGCGGTAATGGCGGCGCTCTGTATCCGCTTAGGGCGCCCTGCTGTCAGCCGCAAAGCACCTGGGGTCCTTGCTTATCAAGGCTCAAAGACTGTCTTGGTCTTGACAAGCAGCTCCGAGTCCGCGAAGGCCTTCCTTCGCAGCCGCTGCAGCTGTTTGGACGTGAGCTGAGCTCGGCAGGGCAGGTCAGAATACATGACCTGTAATCGTCCATGACTGCGCTTATCTGCCCATGGGCGTTGACTATGTGGACGGAAGGATCCCAGATATCGTGCGAGGTCAATGCTAGCTGGCCCTGCTTCACGTGTCAGAGATCATGCCAGGCTGATTTGGATTTCTGGCGCACGCGGTAAAGAGGCGCCAGCCTTACATTTGCAGA